ATTTCCTTTGTGCACTTTGATGCTTTGTTTCAGGGTCGTATTGGTACACCCATGTTTCATCACCAGTGATAACATGGCCCAAAACATCGTCTTGCCTCTCCAAAAGGTCCTGGCAAACTTCAACTCTCCTCTGCTTTTGTTCCTCGGTGAGCTCCTTTGGGACCATTTTTGCACACACCTTTCTCATGCCAAGACTTTCAGTTAAGATTTTCCTAACTGTTTCTCCATAGATGTTTACTTGGGCTGCTATTATTCTCTCAGCCAGCTGATGATTTTGACACACCATTCGATTAATTTTTGCAATGTTTTCATCAGTTCTGCTCATTACTGGCAGCCCTGATCTCACTTCATCAGTGACGTGTTCTCTCCCCTCAGAAAAATGTTTAATCCACTTGTACACTGCTGTTTTCTTCATGGCATTATCCCCATAAACTTGGACTAACTTGTCCCTGATTTCATTTCCGCTCTTGCCAAGTTTAACAAGAAATTTAATGTTTGTTCGTTGCTCTAATTCAAGCTCAGACATTATCACGACATCACACTAAAACAATAACAATAATGAATGCCTCTCAGCAAGACACCGCCACAAGTCATCATGAACACAGCTGTGAGACACTGATATACCAACGTTATGAAACCTTACCGAGCTGTTTGTACAGTGCTGCCAATGTAAGTGCACAGTGGCAAGTTTGCAAACTTAATTGTTAGATCTCGTATGTAGAGATTCTTTCATTCCCTTGGCTTCTTAGTTCTTTAATATTCTCTCTTCTAATGATCTTGTCCTGCAACTTACCTCAGCCATGTATTCCCTTATTACACCCTAGATATTATTATTTCTAATGGCTGTACCTTCTCCATAATCTCAATTGCCAGCATCCCACTTTCCAGCTACCACCTCCAACTCTTTCCCTTTGATGCCAACAATTCCTTACCCCTGCTGCACTGGACTGAAAGATTATGATGCACCTTTTAAATCATCCCTCTGTATTCATCCGCAGCTACCTTACTCCTCTCTCCTCAACCCAGATTAAATCCAATTTGCCACTGTGCTATTGGGTTGTCGGAAAAGTCGTGATGTATTTTTCTATGTTTTTCATTGCAAAAATGCATCATGACTTTTCTGGCAACCCAATATACTAAGCTAGAGCAGCTGAATGTAGTTGGAGAAAATACATACCCATGATGACTGTCACACTTAGTATTCATGATTGGATCCTCAAGAGGGAGCAGCAATACGACTATCTTTTCTACTCCCCTTCCCTAGCCCATTCACTTTTCCACTCTCCTATCTTAAACCTCTTCTTCTCTATTATGCTTCCAATACCTCCTTCCCTTTCTCTCTCTCAATTGCAAAAAAAATAGCTGCAACCAGAAGAGCACTTCCATATGTGTGTTGTTATATGCCACTGAGTGGGCTCTGACTCCTGGCGACCCTATGAAGAAGTACTGTCCGCAATGTCCTGTCCTCAGCACCCAGCTCAGCTCATGTAGACTCGTGCTTGTGGTTTCTTTCATGGAATCAGTCCATCTCATAGTTGGCCTTCCTCTTCTCCCACTGCCTTCTATTTTTCCCAGCATTATTGTCTGGGAAATAAGATGTGCCTGGAGTAGGAGAGCTTTAGTTTTGTCATTTTTGCCTTCAGTGATGTTTCAGGCTTGATTTACTCTGGGACCCACTCGTTCATCTTCCTCGTGGTCCAGGGTATCTGTAGAGCTCTCCTCCAGCATCATATTTGAAATGAATTCCTTTTTTTGTCCCATTAGACTTTTTCACTGTCCTACTTTTGCATTTGCACATAGTAACTGGGAATACAAGGATATTAGCCATCTTCCCCCCAAAACTCTACTAGCCTACCTGCACCTGTTCTACCTGCACTCTTCTCTGTTCTCCTGAATGAACTCTTTGTGTCTAGAGCCAATCCCTCCTCGTGGAGCACTGAATCCCATCCCTGCTTGTGTACTCAAGGAAATCACTCTTGCAGTTAGCCTCTCTACTGCATCATCACTTTTCTCCTCTAATGTACGACTCCAATTAGCATACAATTTGTTCCATATTAAAAAATATCCCTTCCTTTGAACCTAACTGCTAACTCTTTGCTCCTCTTTATGCCAGAACTCCTTGAAAGAATTGTTTTACTCACTGTCTCCCATTAGTCTCCTCCCATTCTCTCAAACTCACTCCAATAAAGTTTCCTTCCACCACTCCAGAGAAATAGCTCTTGTCAAAGTCACCAATGACCTCCACATTGCCAAATCCAAGGGTCAATTCTCAATTTTCATCTCGGTTGAACTATCCGCAGCACTTAACACGGTCAAAAGCTCATGACAAGTTCTTACTTGGCTCTGGAACCCCACACTCCCCTCCTGCACTCCCACACACCTCCCTCCCAATTTTTCTAAATCACAGGCATTCCTTCCCAGTCTGGATCTTCCTTATCTCTCTGACATGGAATACCCAAGGCCTTCCCTGACCACAGTTGCTCCTACTCATCATTTTCTAGACCCTGTAGACTCTATAACCTGCTTTATTTTACCACCTGATACAGTATCTAATTAAGGTCTGTCTCGCTTTCAATAGAATGTAGTTCTCTGAAGGCAGGGCCTTGCTTTGCTCCTTATTGTGTTCCTGCACCTATAACAGGTCTAGGTACATAATACATGCTCAAAAAAGTTTTGCTGATTGAATGGCTGGACGACAATTTCACAATATGTAGTGAAGGGACCTGGCGATCCCATTTCTANCAATGATGGTGCCAACTTGGGCCAGTGAAGCAATGTTCTCCACAACTAGACTGAAGAACAAAACAACAGCAACTTGTCTGTTCCCCTTCCCCCAACCCCAATTCCCCAATAAAAATCTTTAAAAAAAAAAGAAAAAAGAAAAAAGAAAAAAGAAAATGCCCACTTAGAAACACACCCAGGACTTATTCATAGAGACTGAGATTTTTATGTCCAATGACTAGTTATGCCAATACTTTCTTTTATAGAATAAAAAAGATGTCACTCACCAAAACAACTTGCCTTTCTGTCCCGTTGGCGGTCTGTAGGAAACTCAAATACTTCCTCAAATATTTATTTCATTGGTAACCACATTGAATGCTGGGGTGTGTATGGGCGGGGGAAGCTCTTTTATGCCATCTACTGAATCCCACTGAAATTACATTGCGCAGCCATCACCACAATCAAATTAGAGCATTTCATCACCCTAAGGAAGAAACACCACACCCTATAGCCATCACCTTCCACTCCCTCATATGCCTCAGCCTGAGGCAACCACTTATTTTGTGTTCTTGATACAGGTTATCAAAGTGCTCTCCATAAAGTTTGTTCCAACCTACCTGTCCCCAGGGTGTGTCAGAGTACACATTTTACACATTCTCCACCAATTTCATTGATGAAGGGTGATATCTCATTATTGTTTCATTTTAATTTTCTTTCATTATAAATGTTTTGGATGGTTTTTCATGTTGATTGGCAGTTTGTATCCTTTAGTGAATTACCTGTTCACGTCATTTGGCTATTTTCCTATCAGAGTTATGTTTTTACTATTTCATTATATGTTCTCTTCCATGTTACTGACACTAACCCTCTGTCAAACTTTTTGCAAACATCTTCTCCCATCATTTACCTTTTCATTTCATGATCTGAAGCAATAAATATATACATTTTTATATAATATAAACAAATAAGTTGACTTTTCTCTTTGCTATTACTACCATTAAGTTGTGTGCTGGTAAACCAGGTTACCAAAAAAAAAAGAAAGCCTGATTTGTAGCATTTGCTGATATCTGCAGCATATATATTTCCATTAAGATAGTGAATTTCTAGCTATCAACTGACCTACTTGCAAAATTCCTGAATATGTAACAACTGGCCCTCACAAGTCTGTACAAATGAGCTCCAGCAGACCAATGCTATATTGCTTTTAGGTTTATAAAGTTCTTCTTCACAACAAGGTCAAATGAATACATGTGCATGTGTTCTTCTCAAACATAATTTTTTAGTTATTTTATTTTTTTATTATCCAAGTAATAAGTGTTCACTGAAGAAAAATCAGAAAATGTAAATAAATAAAAAACTCAAATCATCAGTAATCTCACCATATAAAGATATATCAATATCATTTTTGTAGCAATCATGCAGACTTTTCCACATAGATGAACATGTTCTAGGCTCTTGATGCCTCCTGCCAAATTGCTGTTCAGAGAGTTTGTACCAATTTACATACACACACACACACACACACACACACACACACACACACACTCAGATAGTATTATACCATGTGTACTGTTTTGTAATGTGCTGTTCTTAATCCATAACACATCATAAATAATTTTTCATGTCAGTAAATATATACCAATTTATTATTATTGGCTGAATAATATCCCATTTTCCTTATAATGTATTTTAAAAAATATTTTAATAACAATGTATTTCTGCAGTCTTCTATTGTTGGGTAATTAAGCTGTTTCCAATTTCTGCTATTACAAACACTCTGCAAAAAGCAATATGTTTATGTATTTCCTAAGAATGTGTATGAACAATTATTTCCTTAGGATATATTCCGTGAAGTGGACTTTCTAAACCAGTGGACATAAATCCATACCATTCATTATTCTCTGTCTTTTCTTCTGTTACTGCAAATCATATATTTTTAATGATTATTTAACTCAAATTTAGGATAGATTTTTAGGTTGCTCATCGGCCATGTAATTTGATAGCTTACCAACAATTTGTTTTCCTTCTCATCTGCTGGTTCCACTGATTAATGTAATAGGGTATTGACTGGAACTTATCCTACGATTTGGGTTCAAAACCAAAGACAAGGAAGTGTTATATACCTCATATTCTAAGACAGCTGCCAGCAATTGGGGCCAAACACTTCCCTCAGGGCATTCTAAAAAGCAGTTGAGCCAGAGAGTGCCATCCGACCATCAGTTCACTCTTACATTTCCCAGCCACCTAAGAATGCTGGGGAGGGCAGTGAGAGAATCATCAGCATTGGGATACCAGTGTTTATGATGTAAGGCTGCACTCTCTTCTCCCCATGGAAGAGGTGACATCCCTTCCTTCCCAAGCCAAGTGAAGAAGGAATACCAATAGAATCACGCACAGAGACTGGACAAGGAGACTCCGTCTCTTTCCTCAGATGGAGGCTAGCTTTCAGGCAGAAATATGCAGGACCCCCTGCTCCCACCAAGAGGGTCTGTGAACAAGTGGTCTTTGAGAACATTATGTGTATCCCTGGGAGTTCAGAAATGTAAGTGAACAGAGGGACTGGTATCTACTCTCCTGGAGAGAGTAGTTGGAGTAACCCTTGCTAACAGGCAATGAGAGACTGTGGTGAAATGTACCTGGGAAATGTGGTGTATCTCCACCTCAGCTTTCCTTGGTCCATATACTCAGAGAAAGCACAGGACTTCATTCATTTTGTGACTCCATGTAAAGGAGAATGGAGGCTGGAATTCAAGACAAGAGCTATGGAAAACAGAGCCAATTGGTCAGCCTGAGCCCTTGAATGACTTTGTGGAGTAGAGACAGCTACCTGTCCTAGACCTCCTGATTCTATTTGACCTATTATTTAAGAAAGAAATAAGTTTCTATCTTAATGAAGCCCCTGTGTGGGGTCTCCCTGTTTGACAGCATAGCCTGTACCTTAACCAACATCATCACAGAAAAGAGTAACTGCCTTCCTACACCTCATCATCCCTGGTCGCAACATCAGAAATTTAGACCTGGAAGAGGAAGGAGCATGAAGTATGTATCTCAGGTTAACCACACCCACCCCTCACTCAAATATATACCAAGACTGAGCTATAAGCCTAGCCTATGATATGGGGAAAGGTGGAGTTGGAGATTAAACATTTTAAACTAGATTGCACTATTAATACCTCAAAAGAACTGGAAAAGTATGAAATTTGCTTGAGATATTAAGGGACAAGAAGGGGAGAATTTCAATGAACATAGGGGTATGTATATCTTTACAAATAAATGTTTTCAAAATTTTCAGGTAGATACCCAGAAGAGGGATTGCTGGGTTGTATGGCAATTCTATTCTTAGTTTTTTGAGGAACTTTCATACTATTTTCCATAGAGGTTGTACCAATTTACATTCCCACCAGCAGTGTATAAGGGTTCCTTTCTCCCAACAACCTCTTCAACACTTGATTGAGCACTACTCATGATGGTCAAGACATGGAAACTAAAATGTGCTTTGATAGATGACTGGATAAAGAAGATATGGTACAGATATACAATGGAATATTATTCAGCCACAAGAAAAGTGGAAATACTGCCATTTGCAACAACATGGATGTGTCTTGAGAATATCATGCTAAGTGAAATAAATCAGATGGAAAAAGCCTAGAACCGTATGATTTTACTCATATGTGGGATATAAAACTGAAAGCAACAAATGAACAAAACAAACAAACAAAAACTCATTAACACAAACAACAGTATAGTAGTTACCAGAGAGAAAGGGCAATGAGGGAGAGATAGAAAAGCATTAAAGGGGGTCAAATATATGGTGATGGAAGGAGATTTGACTTTGGATGGTGAACACAATGCAATAAACACATGGTGTATTATAGAATTGTACTTTCGACACCTATATAATTTAATTAACCGATGTCACCCCAATAATTTAATTAAAAAAGGGGGAAAATTTAAGAATCCAGTTGGTGGAATAACTGGAAGAAAGTAAAAACAACTTTATATTTAGATGTTGTTGACAGTCCTCATAAACTACCTATAATTAAAAACCCTCAGAAAGTCTCTTGGCTTTCAGAATCTCTTTAGGTCTCTTTCACTGCCTATAGTTTATTCTCATTCCTTTCTAATCAAATCAACCTCCAGAAATCTCAACAGAAATGGACTTCCTCCTTTCCTAGTATTGTTCTTTGTATTCTTCTCATTAAAACTCATACTGTCTCCCACTTATATCGCAGTCATCAGTCACTGTCTCCCATTCTCTCTCACCCATCCATTTTATTCTCTTTGCCCATCTCTCCCTTTTTTGCACCTCTGGCTTCCCAAGCAGCTCCTTTCATATTCTTCTCTCTCCCCAAGATAGCATTTCCCCCCCTATTGCCACAACCAGCTGAGTCTCCATGTCATCAGACAGCCAGGCAACCCCAGGGTAATGGGTTGAATAATGTCCCCCACCATCCACTACCAAAAAAAATGTTCATGTTCACCTGAAATCTCAGAGTGTGACCTTTTTTAAAAATACGGTCTTTGAATACATAATGAAGGTAAGGATCAAGACGAGATAATATCGGATTAAGGAGGGCCCTAAATCCAATGACAGTGACCTTATAAAAAACAGAAAAGAATACAGAGACTTGGAGGAGAATGCCATGTGAAGACAGAGGCAGAGATTGGTGTGCTGCAACTAAAAGACAAGCAATGCCAAGGATTGGTGGAAACCACCAGAAACTGGGAGAGAGGCATGGGACATTTCTCCCTCACAGCCTCCACAAGGAACCAACCCTGCTGACACCTTGATTTTGGGCTTCTGNCCAGTTCTTAACCAAGGCGCCACTCGGCCGGCCCTGCATTTTCTTTTTTTAGAGGATAAACTGTTACCTTTGAGAAGAAGAACCAAGGAAGAGACATATTTTTATTACCATTTTAGGCTCTTTTGCCCCATTTGAATTTTTAAAATATACACATGCATTACTATTTTATGCATTTTTACTTTATAAAAATAAAGTAGTATCTTAGTGGAATAAGTAAAATAACTTAGTCTAAGGCTAATAAACATACTGTCCTAATATGAACACAGGTAAAACTGCCTTTCTCTTTCCCTGGAAAATCAATAGATAAGTATCAGTGTCTACCAATAGCTTTGAAACAAAGTATGTGAAAATTATCAAAATCGTAAAATACACAAGCCACAAGAAATAAAATTAATAACTTAGATATTAAATATTGATATTAAAACCAAAATCTTCTGCTGTTTTAAAAAAAGACAAGCCACAGTTTGGGAAAAGATACTTGTAACACAAATGACCACAAAAGATTAATATCCAAAAAATATAAAGAATTTCTAGAAATCAATAAGAATATGACTAACAAACCCAATGGGAGGATTAGCAAAGAATATATAAACATATGGATAACAGAAAAGGAAATAGAAATAAGCCAAAGATAATAAGGAAAACGCCCTCATTAGAACATGGGAAATACAAATTAAGACAACCAGGAGACACCATTGTACACCCCTGAGATGGACAAAAATTAAATCGTCTAATAATATCAAATGTTGATTAGAATGTGAGGAAACATCTGTCAAACACTTCCAGAGATTCTGACTTAAATGGCCTGAGGTGGGACCAGGCATCAGTATTATTTTAAAAGCTCTTCAGGTGAGTCCATTCCAACGCAGTGAGGATCAGGGCACTTTGAGACCTAAACTCTATCCTGAACACATCGCCCTCTAGTGGTCCTTATTTTCTCAACTGCTTCCCTCGCATCTCAGAACCTGGATGTGATACAGGTTGCCTTTGACTCTCAGCTGCTACTTACTTCCACATCACTGTTCCTCCCCCAACACTTGAAATCTAACCCCTCCTGGTTGCAGTAATCCATAGAGACCCATCACTCCCTCATTCATTATTTTAACACCACTCATTGTTTAAGTCAAACACCACCCCTGTCACAATTCTAGTGATTTCAATAGCTACGAGGTCTGCCAATTAAGTTGGCAAACTCATCCTAGAAAAAGTGCTACATACCTCATTGCTGAATATCACTATGGTCACCTTCAAAGTACTCCCCTTGGGAAGCTATGCACTGATGCCAGTGCCTAGTCCAACCTTCAAATCAATTTTGGAACTCATTTTCTGGAATTGCCAGCAGAGCTGTCGTCATATTACCCTTGATGTCCTGAATGTCATCAAAATGTCTTCCT